TAGATAGATAGATAGATAGATAGATAGATAGATAGATAGATAGATAGATAGATAGATAGATAGATAGATAGATAGATAGATAGATAGCAGAACCCCAATATAACTCACAGTGATGGAGGCCAAAGTCAGACATCCAGAAAAAACAAACAGGTTGGCAGTTTGCTTCTCAGGTCTGTAATCCTCAGCCTCTGTCTCTGAATTTAAAAGCAGAAAATGAAGTCATCCATCCTTTTACAGCAGTCTACATAGTATATATCAGTTCAGCGGTTGGAAATGGTGGCTGTCACTGCTGAACAAGTTCAGAAACACCAACTAATGTTTCCAACGGCTTTTTTAAAACTGTAAAGTCACCCTATACAAATAAAATAAGATAAAAGAAAAGAAAAGACAAACAGGTCTGTACAGATGAAGGTCAATCTATTCTCAAAGACCGGACTTGGGTTTGGAAAAGGACCAAGGATAAGTCAAACCGGACCCAGCCCAGCGATATGTTATATTACATTGTATTCAAATGAAATGGCACAATGCAGTCCAGAGGGTGTGGCTCTTTAAAAACAGAGAGAATGCAAGGGGCGAGCTGTTGGAGACTAGTTGGTGAAAATGAGAGAATTTTCCATTTCAATCTCTGAACTCTGACCATCTGTGAGCAGGGAGCCATGCAGCCGTGGTTTGTGTGGTCAGTTTGTGAAATTCACAGCTAATTTTAGGGCAGAGATGCAAATCACACATACTGAACCAACCCATTCTCACTCTTGACTTGTAAACATATTGACACTTGGTCGGTACCCCCTCCCGTCAGTTCTTAACAAGATAAGGCGGAGGAGGAGGAGCGCATTGTTATATTTTTGAAAAGAGTAGGAAATGTGCAACAACAAACCATCCCAGAGCCTAAATTAACTTCTATTAGCCATATACAGCCTATCCCCGACCTCAGTACCTAAAATTAACCATTAATCCTGATCCCTCATATTAACCACAGACCCCCAACCCAAAGACCACTATGTGGCGCAACCCGGAAAAACAACGATTGGCAATGACTGATGCGAGAGGTGTACTCA